GTGCTCCGGGGCCCGTTGGCCGCCGGGGGCTGGCTGACGGCTCGAAGGGCAAAACGTGGGAAGACGGCTCCGTGGTTGCGCCTAAGTTGTGTGTTTGAAAGGGTTCCTGGCGCCAAACGCAGTCAAGGTTAAATCACAATGGTTCAGCCATCCAAAAGGAAAGTGAACAGCTGATGTTTTCGTCTTCTCGCGTGCTGGGGGGGGGTGGAAGGGTAGACCATGCTTAATGAGGCGCGCACGCGTGGCTCACATGACCCGAATGGGAGGATTTCCACCCCACCCCCGTGGAATGCGCGCGAACCAACACAAAATGAATAGCCCTTGTTTTGCTAGTTATTGTAATCATTCGACATACTCCCACAGGGGCGGGTGATTGTTGGGAATTTGAGTCCATTTCTTCTATGTCTCAGATTCTTATGGACGGGTGCGCTTTGGGGATCTTCAGGTGCAATTTCCAATGTGTTGCAGCTATTCTAAATGTTCTGTTTCAGCAAGGGGCTGGTTCTAACTATGTTTTACTTCTTATAACTGTTATCATTATCTTATTTTCTTCCCAAAGCGAGGGGTGCCTTTTGGGCCTTTGGGAATTCAATCTTCATATTATAATATGTGTTCCAACTATTCTAAGCATTCTCACATTTCTAACTATTCCAGGTATTTTAAAGTGGCCGGGCGCCTTGTGGGGAAGTCCAGATTCATTTTGTGCTAATCATTATAGTTCTCACGATTATTTTAGTTGCTTGATTTATTTTTAAAGGGACGGGTGCCTCCTGAGGGAAATCCAGACTCACTGTTCTTCCAATTGCAATAATTGTTCTAACTGGTCTAATAATTCGATTTATTTAAAATGGGTTGGGTGTGTTTTTTGGAATTTCCAGGCTATGATCTTTTGATTTTTGATTTTGCTACTTATTCGCAAAGGGGCGCGTGACTTTTGGGAAAGTCCCAATTCATTTTGCGAGTTGGTCTACTTATTCTAAGCATCCTAATTAAGTAGAACAATTAGAACACAATTCCCTATTGGAGCGGTTCTAATGATTCGAATAAGTAGAATAAGACGAAGACACGGAGCCCTATGTGTTGTTCAAGTTTGTTTATCTTTGAATGATTTGAAACCCGCCTTGTGGTTTCCCAATATTCCAATCATTTCACTTATTGTTCCCGCAGGGGTGGGTGCTTTTTAGAAAAGTACACATTAATAGTCTCTAACTATTCGAGAAATTAAACTCATTCCGACAAACTAGAATCATTAAACAACATAGACCAAATAACGCACTTTGTTTTTCTAGCCATTCGAGCTAATCTAATTGTTCCCACAGGGACACGTGCCTTCTCACAAGGTCCACATCATGTTATATACGAGTTCCTGAAATTATTTAAGTTATTCTAAATATATTCCCCAGGGGAGGGATGCCCTTTGGAGAATTCCAGAGTCATGTTTCGAATCATTCTAAGCACGTATTCCCAAAAAGGGACAGGTGCCTATTGAAGGAAATCCCGACTCATTGATTCCCAATCACTTACTTGTTCTAATTGATTCGAATAACTAAATTAATTAGAGAAGAAAAAGGGCTATGTTTAGCTAGTTGTTCTAAATATTATACTTGTTCTAAGTACTACCAGAGGGACAAGCCCTTTTTTGGGAATTCCGGTTTAACGTTTGCTCCAGTTATCCTGATTAATTTCGTTATTCTAACCAAAGGGACGGGTGATTCCAGATTCATGTTTGTTCCAATTATTCTAACTCTCTAATTATTCTGATTATTCCCAAAAGGGCGGGTGCCGTTTGAGGAAGTCAAGATTCATGTTGCGAGTTATTCTGATTATCATAATTCTTCTAAGTATCACAATTATTCTAATTCTTCTAATTGTGATTCTCAAAGAGCCAGGTGCCTTTTGGAGAATTCCAGATTCATTGTTGTTCTAACTTGTTTGTTCTCATCATTTTTCCCCCTAAGGGATCATAACTATTCCAATTTCTCTACTTTTTCCGAAAGGGGCGGGTGCCTTTTACGGAATTTCAGATTTCTCTTTGCCCTAATTGCTCCACTTCTTACAATTGTTCTAATGTTTGTTACTTATCAGAACTGTTCTCGTTATCCCAATCAATCTCGAGCTGAGGGGCGGGGGTGCCCTTTGGAGAGTTCCAGATTCGTTTTTCCATAGGTATGATACTTTTGGTATTTCCACACTGTTCTAGCCAATTGAATAATTTCCAGATGAACAGCTTCCTTTTGGTGAGTGGGGCGGGTGACTGTTGGGGAATTCCAAATCCATTTCTTCTAAGTCTCTAATTCTTCCAATCTCTAACTCTTCCGGGCGCGCTTTGGGATTTTCAGATTCAATTTCACCAGGGGGCGGGAGCCCTTTGGGCGAATTCCAGATCCATGCTTGTTCTAATTATTTTACGTCTTATATCTATTGTCATTATCTGATTTTCTTCCCAAAGCGAGGGGTACCTTTTAGGAATTCAATCTTCATATTATAATATGTGTTCCAACTATTCTAAGCATTCTCACAATTCTAACTATTCCAGGTATTTTAAAGTGGCCGGGCGCCTTGTGGGGAAGTCCAGATTCATTTTGTGCTAATCATTATAGTTCTCACGATTATTTTAGTTGCTTGATTTATTTTTAAAGGAACGGGTGCCTCCTGAGGGAAATCCAGACTCACTGTTCTTCCAATTGCAATAATTGTTCTAACTGGTCTAATAATTCGATTTATTTAAAATGGGTTGGGTGTGTTTTTTGGAATTTCCAGGCTATGATCTTTTGATTTTTGGAGTGGTTCTAATTAATTAGAATAAGTAGAAAAAGACGAAGACTCGCAGCCCTATGTGTTGTTCAAGTTTCCCATTATTCCAATCATCTTACGTATTGTTCGGGTGCTTTTTGGAGAAGTAGTGTAATTATTCGAGTCATTAAATTCTTTCCAACAAACTAGAAACATTAAACAACATAGACCAAATAACGCCCTTTGTTTTTCTGGCCATTCGAGCTAAGCTAATTGTTCCCACAGGGACGCGTGCCTTCTCACAACCGAGTTCCTGAAATTATTTAAGTTATCCTAATTATGTTCCGCAAGGGAGGGATGCCCTGTGGAGAATTCCAGATTTGTCTTTCAAATTCCCAAAAAGACGGGTGCCTGTTGGGGGAATTCCCGATTCATTGATTTCTAATCACCTACTTGTTCTCATTGATTCGATTATCTATAATAAGTAGGGAAGAAACAGGGCTATGTTTCGCAAATTTTTCTAATTATTATACTTGTTCTAAGTAATACCAGCGGGACAAGCTCTTTTGGGAGTACCAATTTATTGGGAGTACCAATTCATGTTTGCTAGTTCATCTACTCAATCTAAGAATTCGAATGAATTAGAATAATTAGACCACAACCCCTATTACTAATTATTCTGAAAGAGACGGGTGCCTTTTGGGGAATTCCAGGTGCATCTGGTTTAACTCGTCTAATGATTCTTTATATTACCATTCTTCCAGTTATTCCCACGGGACGGGCACCCTTTGGAGATTCCAGATTCAGTTTCTGCTCTAATCATTCTACTTCTTTGACTTGTCCAATCATACTAATTCTTCCCAATGGGACTTGCTGCGTTTTAGGGAAATCAATGTTTATGTTTGCCATATGCAAGTGTCATAATCATCACTGTTCTTCTACTTATTCCCGAGGTGGCAGGGGCCTTTTGGGAAATGGCAGATGTGTCTAAAACATTGAGTATTGGAGTGGTTCTAACTAAATAGAATATGTAGAACAAGACGAAGACACGTAGCCCTTTGTTTTTGAGAGGGCAGTGTCCCCAGCGCGTGTGTTTTCCATATAAAACAAAATGCAAAAATAAAGGAAAAACGCTCGGAAAACACTTTCTGGGGACACAGGTATCTCTAAACGGACTCTGTGGGAAGGAAGGCTTGGTGGATGGCTTGACGGCAATGTGTCTAATGTGATGTGGTCTTATGTGTGCAAATGTAGCCTAAACAGTCATCAACGCATCCGCGCGTTTACTTCTGCAGATTTCAGCAAGTAGCAATTCCCAGTACTCAGCCCTTGGCTGAAACTTCACTAGGTAGCCATGCAGGCCGAGGATATGACCTTCGAACACCTTAAGGAGGTTGTCGACGGGCTGATGGTCAAAGTAGATGCCCTCATCCATGATGACGCGTGCCATTTCCAGGACTACATCACCAGACGCAAGAACTTGAAGAACATGTTCAAGGGCATTCGGTACTACGTAGTGGATGAGTTCCACCGCGGTAACCACAAGTGCACGAAGAAGACCTTGACGTCTGCGGAGAAGTCTCGCTTCAAGAATTTTTGGAACAACAACCTTCAATCCATGCCGGCCATCGGATCCCGCAGGAGCACCGCCAGCACTCGCAAACGCCCCGCTTCCTCATCCTCGACTCTCAAGCGTCCGGCCGCTGCCGCCAAAAAGTGAGCACATCCAGAAGAAGGTCAGCTCAGAATGCCCGCCCAGAGTATGCGCAGAGTGGCACGGTGAGCCCAGGGAGACATACTCCAACAGTTTGTGGCGTGCGCAAGCAGATGAGACGAAGGAAAGCTGTTTGCGAGTCTGCGGTATAAAAGCAGCAAGAATGCGTGAGGGCGGTCCAACCTACAGAAACTCAAGGAAACCGAGAAAAAAAACCTCGAGAAAAACTACAAAAGCAAGAAAAACTCAAAAAACCTCGGGAAAAACCAAAAAACAAAAAAACACCCAAAGCCCCCAGGGAAATGTTCAAGTGCCAGGCCGGAAACCTTTTGCCAGGGGCTTTGTTTTTTGTTTTTCCCAAGGTTTTTTGAGTTTTGTAGCTAGTGGACAATAAGAAGGTTCTCTGCTCAAGTGACAGGGGTCACAATGCATCAATGTGTTGGCTGCTTGCGGTCTGCGCAGTGTCCCAGCCCTGAAACCATCATACAGCAGGAATGTGCAAAAACCCAGCGCTGGGGACACTGCTTTCTGTTGTTTTTCCAATTTACTACAA